GGGGGGCTACCCGGGAGGCATAGCGCTCCCCCGTCCTCCCCAGCAAGCTGCTGAGGGCCTGAAGCCTGGCCCCTTTCCATAGGTCAGAAACCCCAGTGTGACAGCCGGGGTGGCGTTTTGTGGGGGTGAATGCTTAACGCCCCAGGCTTCCCTGGGGCGTAGCTACGCCTGGCCACGGCCTAGGCACCAGGCTGATGCCCTGAAGCCTGGCCCCTTTCCATAGGTCAGAAACCCCAGTGTGACAGCCGGGGTGGCGTTTTGTGGGGGTGAATGCTTAACGCCCCAGGCTTCCCTGGGGCGTAGCTACGCCTGGCCACGGCCTAGGCACCAGCCCTGCATCCCTTCTGCCCCTGGCACCAGCCCCACGTCCCACACCCCACTGCCTGTAGCAGCTGGGGGTCACTGGCTCAGCCTGGCCCCTACTTCGCTTGTGCCAGCTGGCAGCAGGGGGCTGATGTAGCCCATTGTTGGCCCTTTTCTCCTAGGGGCAGCCCTGCTGCCTGGGGGTTGCCGGGGTGTGTCCCTAATGGGTAGCAGCGCCGAAGGGGCCTTTGCAGCAGCCCTGTTGCACGGCTCAGGCTGGAGCGAGGCCGGGCCCCTGGGGAAAGGCCCCGGCAGCTTGCCAGACTGGCGTGTGGCAGGACTGAGGTCAGCAGGGGAGGCCCTTTCCCTCCATGTTAGCAGTGGGAAGGCCAGGCCTGGGCTGTGCGCCGGTGCTGGCTGCCAGTGCGGCCAGCTAGAATGGGCACAGCAAGGCAGGGGGATGGGAGAGAGGAGAGGACACAGGGCTCCAGGCTCCTGTTGCTGGGTGTGCAAGGGTAGGCCCAGGAGCTCACCCTGGGGGGTCCCAGGCTAGCTCCTCTTGGCACTGGTGGCCTCCCCAGTGCCTGGGCTTGTACCTGTGCCCTGACCTTGCCCACACGCGTCTTCCCTGCTGGTGGCAGTGCACGGTCAACCTGTGGAACTCCTCGCCAGAGGATGTTGGGAAGACCAGGACTTTAACAGGGCTCAAAGAAGAGCTCGATAGATTCATGGAGGTTGGGTCCATCAATGGCAGTTAGCCAGGCTGGGCAGGAAGGGAATTCTTAGCCTCTTTGTCAGCAGCTGGGGCTGGGTCACTTGATTCCCTGTTCTGTTCGCTCCCTCTGGGGGGCCTGGCATTAGCCCCCATTGGCAGACAGGACACTGGGCGAGATCAGCTTTTGGTGTGACTCAGCCTGGCTGCTCTTATGGCATAGCTGAGTGAGGGCAGCCGGAGCCAATGCCTGGAGCAGGGCTAGGAGGGAGCACTGCCCAGCATGGCAGGGTCCCTGCCCCTGCACAGAGCCCCCAGGTTGTGGGCATGCTGGGAGCCGGTGCTGGCTGCCCTTGTCCTGCAGAGCGCAGCAGGAGGGATTAAAGCCAAGGAGGGGCCCAGCCGCCTGGCCCCCTCCCTGGGGTGTGTACAGCAGGGCAGCACCACCCCCTGCCCTGGAAGGCCTGTGGGTGCCCTGCCCCTGGCGGTCCATGGCCTCTGGCTGAGGTGGAGCCTGGGGGTGACGACCTGCCTGCTGTGGCAGATGGGAGCCCCCTCCCACGTACTGCCA